TTTCTATCCTCTGCACAGCTGCAAAGTTTTATCAAAATATGTCAAGGTCAACAGACAGAGGCCTCATCACCACCTGAAGATGCCCACATGATCATATGCAGAACTTTTAACTGGAAGAGTCTTTTGAACTCTGGGGGGTGGGAACAATTCCATCCTTTTGTATATGTGATCTGCGCGCCAAAATCTTTAGATTCAGAATCTTCTCTGTAGCTTCCACTTTGAAATTTAGTAAAAGAAGACCTTTGCTCTAACCATTGGAGTCTGAGTGTTTCTTTCTTGGATTTTGAATGGAGCACAGACTGACATAACCATTTTTTAATTCTTTAATTTGTTTTCTTCCCACCACACTTTGAGTAATAAATCAGTCATACATCTGTACATTCAAGCACATTGCTCACTATTTTCTTTCTAACTCTCAGTGAACTGCATTACATGGAGGGAAACCTGCATTACGTTTACTGAGGTTTCTGTGAAATCTTGAGCATTTTAGAGATGATCCCACTTAAGTGAGTATTCATGAAAATGTGTTAATGTGGAATACTCTCCATACTGAAGACTCTTCAGTATTATAATCTCTCATTGCATACTTTCATAGCAGCAATCAATGCACTAGATGTATAAAAGAATGTGAAAAGGGTTGCACGAAGACCACAATGTACAGCCATCTTCTTAAAATGATAGATCAATAAAGTAAGCCATAATTTTCTAGCAAAATCGATGACATGCTGATTCTTGGCTTGGTATATGCTGAGTATGTGCTCTCCAGATTCGATCACCACAGAAAGCTACCTTATCAGTTTTCCTTCTTTCTTATTGAATATAAATGAGTAATTAAGACCCATATTTAATTTTATGTCTGTATTTAAAAAGCCAGTCTTTGTCTTATGTCTATTCAAGGCAACTACACAAAGGATGTAAATATAAGATGATGTGAGAAGAAATATTAACAAAATATTATATAGCCTTTCTTTAGCTCCTGGAATAGGGGTAGATTAAAAAAATAAATAAGTAGAGGAATTCTGTTGTTCAAAGAAAACATTGAGATGCCATATTTCTTCCAAACATCTCTCCTGTATCATGCTCTCACAGTTGGCCAAGTAAAGATTCACACATAAGACTGTCTTTTGCATAATCATTCTTTATTTACTTCCAGTTACTTTGGGGAGGAAACCAACTTTGATTTATTATCACTTTTAGTGGAAGATTTTTGCAGATGAAAAGCCCTGCACAAGACTGTTGGATATGTTTATGCTGCTGCTGCAAAGCCAACCCGGTTGTTGCCCAAGTCATACACAGAGTAGTAGGGCCTGAGGAAGACATCACCAAGGATCCACAGAGGTTGCCCATTCTGGGATGGCAGATAAGTAGGCATAATGGCAATCCGGCAATAGTCTCCAGAATACTGTTGAGAAAAAGATATAGACTACATTAAAACTCTTGGACTAAGGCAAAAATATCAGAAATAACCTGAGACAGTTAACTTGAGAGAACAAAATTTAACTTTCAGTATTCAAACACTCTACCATTGTAATTGCATATAACACTCTGCCAAGATTTTTAACCACAAAACTATCCATTATTCTGCAACTGCATTTTAAAGAATACATTTTTAGGCCTGCTCAGTTCATTATTACTCAATTCCCTACAAGAAAAAATGTGATCTAATTTTCAATATGTGGACCACCAGGAGACAAATTGTTGTCTTCAATTACCCAAGCCTCTCAAATATTTATTTTCTTAATGGCACCATATTTTACGCCATACTGCACCTTCTGGTGCCCCCTATCTTTTTTATATAACATCTTGCCAACTTTTTAAGCTCCTTTCTTCAGCTTTCCCATGAGGGCATCTCAAAGTTATGCTCTCTGCTTGTCCATGGGACAGCGAGGAGGATATAATGTCATTAAGAGATCCAGCTGTGCTATGCCTTTCTATACAGCAGTTGTAAATGACTGATACAAGGTAATTTCAGATTCCTAAGACCAACATGAAAAAAGCTGTTGAAAAGAACGACCTACCTGAAGGACATAGTTAGCTGGAGTCAGGGGGAAATAAACTCCATTGATGGCAAATGTGATGGTCGGCATGGACTGAAGGTTATTGCAGTTAACCACAAACTATAGAATGGGAAAGAAGATAGAGAGAAAATGTACAAACACCATAAGTATAATATTCTAAGGGATAAACTAGACTGTAAATAAGTAAGTAGATCACACAGCATCTTGCTTCCCTTCTCATTTTGATTTACTTTCCTGTACAAGCATACTGGCTTAATTCAATATCAAGATGCATTAGAATGGAAAACGCTCTTTCGTATTTTAGCCTTCTTAAGAAAAAGCCAACTCTTCCCTATACTGGCAGATGGATGGGAATTGAACCTCCACTAGCATCTTGTCTGGTTTGGCTTGGTTTGACAAAAGCTAAACTAAGAACTATCAACTAAGGTAGGTCTTGCCAGATAGCTGTACATTTTCTGGCAACCTCCCACTCCACCTCACAATTCCCATTGCCTGGATAAAGGAAATGAGTATTAAGGGAGTCAGTTTTTCATCATCTTATATTGGATTTATTTGGGAAATATTTTCATACCCACAATAAGAGTATCCCAGGTCTTTTGCTGATATTTAGCATGCCAGTTACACTCAATATTCCCTGTTTCTACGTATAGCAGGTTTCCCCTACCTCGCCATAGTTGTTCTGCTGGGCTCCAAGTCTCTCCATCAGCTGGTCAAAGAACTGCCCAGGAACAGTGAGTAGGGATGTTCCGGTATCCACAATCGCCTGACACCCCTGGCTGCACCAATTGCTGACCTGGTTGTTAACCAAGAATCTAGAGAAAGAAAGTCCAGAGATATTTGCTGTTACATTGTTCTTCCACACTTAGTCAACAGATATTCAATGGCATCACCGAAAAGGAAGCAGCTGTGGTTATTTTCGTATAAAATCAGATTGTTTTCTTGCCCTGGTTTTGTCATTGGACCACCAGAGTTAAGTGGGGGAGCTGTTTCCAAAGAGAAAAAAAATATTATTGTCCCAGAAATAAAAGCAAGCTGGAAAGGCATATTTGTAGAGTACAAAATTAATGATTGCTGACCAGCTGCAACTAGTAGAATCAGAGTTGCCTTGGTGTAGGAAGCCAGAGACTCTTCTGCTGACTGCTGGCTGGCTGAAATTTGGCAGTTCAAATCTCAAGGTTGACTCAGCCTCCCATCCTTCTGAGGTTGGTAAAATGAGGACCCAGATTGTTGGGGGCGATATGTTGACTCTGTAAACCACTTAGAGAGGGCTGTAGGGCGGTATATCAGTCTAAGCACTATTAATATTACATTCAATTGGATACCTCTCCATTTAATATTTTTGCCTTCTGTCATATTAAAAACTACCAATTGCAACATTCGGAATGGTTCTGAGGCCCCACTAGTGTCCTTTGATGTAGAGATTTCAAAATCCCATCTCCAAGAGACTATTCGTCATGTAATACTTAAGTTGGTTTTCCATCAGGCTCTTCGGTAAATATTACTACTGAAAACAGCCTTACCCTTCAATCGCAATTTGCCAATATAAGTCTTGGGTAACTGGACTCCAATAAATCTGACCAGTGTAGAGACTGGAATCGACTCCTCCAAGTATAAGTGCACCACCATTCTGGAAACTTGGCTGCCTAATAAGATCAATGGAGAAGGACAATCATATTGAGATTATATTGCTGGTTCATACCAGTGTTTTTTTTTTTAGCTGACTGAAGGTTCTCTGTGTGAGGACCTTTTCATTGTGAAATCATACCCACCTTGAAGGGCTGCCTAGTGTCAAAATTCAGTATTATGCAACCCCAGAAATAGAAGTGGCCGTTTAGATAATCCATTCTCACTATCTGGAGTAGAATTCAGTTTAAACCAGGTTTTTTTCAAACTTGGCAATTTCTGTTGGGTAGACTTCCCAGAAATCCTCAGCTAGCATGCTGGAAACTGAAGTCACCCACCTTAAAGTTGCCAAGCATCAAAAACATTGGTTTAAACCAGCCATGAATGGTCACTCATTATGATCTTCTTTAACAAATCTGTTGAAGAGGAGCACAACACCTCTCTGGATATTTGGTTAACTATCAAACTGCTCTTCTAGTTAAGAAATGTTTAAAAATACTAATCTGGGATCTGTTTCTGATATCTTAAATCTATTGTCCAGGATGACAGGTAACAGGTCTTTTCATTTCTTTGTGTCGATCCTGAAAAGTGCTAAAGAGGCCGGTGAGATCATCTGGCAAATCAGGAGGTGCACAGAGTAAAGGACAAATATGATAAGGTAAAAATACTACTCTCTATCTTATACCAGTAATTTCAAGAATCATTTTTAAAACTCTAAAGAAATCCTAAACCACAGGAAAAACATTTTAACAGGAAAAAAAATATCAAGCAACCGGAGGAGCATTTTTCTCATAATTTTAAGAGAAAGGTTTGGGCAACATTTCATAGCTAGGACTCAGTAATACTTTAGAGAGGCTGAGATTTTAGTAAGCGCTACCAAAAGGCTATGTGTTCAAATATCTATCCTGCCATAAACTGATAGAATGTTTTTAGAACAATCATTCTTCCTCAGTCCTACCTAAATATTGGTACTACGTAACAATGTAAAGTTGATATTTTTAAAAACTTCCCTCTCTCTGTCTGCCTTTTAAATTAATGTGAAGTGCTTTCTTGGATCTGAAATCTGTAATCCAAAGAGAATCTACTATCTTACAGAAACTTTAACTGGATAGCTTTCTAAAACAATTACGCAATGTGCAAATCCAAAGGTTAAAAAGGCCCTGTGATCTTAAGTTGTCCATCTCAAAATTCCAACCATAGAAATGTTCTCCATAATTCTTGTTGACATAGGTTGTAAGCTGTGTACAAAGTATAGGTGGCAATTGAGAAACAATCATTGTAGTAAGTGGAAACCGCCAAATTAAAAACAACAAAGGTAGAAAAGACTTCATACTCACCGACTCAGGTAAAAGCTGAAAACAGGAGCATCAAGCAGATTCTCCTGGATCATTCCCTGCATTACAGTGGTGGCACCACCGGCGGAAAGGGAGGGATAGGCCAGACCCAGGATGCCATCAAATTTTGAATAGAGAAAAGCAGTGCCAGGCTCAGTTTCACTTAGGCCAAATTCTTGATTGGTAATAGGAATGCCTTGGATCTACAAAGGAACAGGACACGTCATAAGATAGGAAAAGTATACAGCACAATAGCCTAACAGAAGTTCAGAAAATTGAAATTATGGATAGCTAATCTATTTGGTTGTGATGGAGGAATAACTCACTGTGCAGAGTATTTGAGGATGGGAAACCTGTCTAACATTATGGTCAGTTGATCATGAAATATATTAAAAAGATTTTCAAAATGTTAGCCTTTTTTATATAAATGGATAGATTCAACAAGAGAACCTCTCATTCAGACTTTCTTATATTCTCAAATGTTCAACACATAAATATGCAGTCAACTGGAAGAGCTAATGTTATGAGAAGGGTGTTCACAAGGAATAGGAGTACCAAAATAGATACTTGGATGTGGAAAAGAGAAAAGGCTAGTTATTTGGGGATCTCAGAGCAGGGAGCTAACACTGGTTGAATTTATCTTATTTTATTTATTTTATTTGTTTGTCAAACATGTACAAGATAACAAGTATAAGTATGAACATAAACAAGAACAAAAGAAGTGTTTAATTTCATTGTACGAGGTGCATTGTACGAGACAATAAAGTAAACTAAACTAAAATACAGATAAATGGGGACAGAAAGACAGGGAAGGTAGGCACGCTGGTGCACTTATGCACGCCACCTTTAAGGATCTTTAAGGGCCTCTTAGGAATTCCTACTCTGTATCCCCACCAGCTCCTACTATTTTCCCCTCTCACAACAGGGAAGGTGTTGTGTTGCCCAGGCGACTATCCACTGATCTTTGGAAAGGATCGGGAGGTGTTTGATCAACCAGCTAGCAGAAAATACGACTTCAGCAACAGAGTGGTCAATCTTTGGAATACTCTGCCTGACTCTGTGGTTTCTTTCCCAAATCCCAAAAACTTTAACCTTAGACTGTCTACTATTGACCTCACCCCCTTCCTAACAGGCCTGTAGGAGGCGTGCATAAGCGCACCAATCGTGCCTACCGTCCCTGTCCTATTGTTTTTTCTTTTTCTTATAAGTATCTATCTCATGAATTCAAAACTATGTTTATTCTTATACCTGTATCTTGTAAGCGATTGACAAATCAAATAAATACTAAATACTAAAAATATCCTTTCTTCATCCATCAAAGCCCTAGGCTGCAATATGAGGACTTTAGCTAAACCCATGATACTTCAACAGAAGGTAAGACCAGTGAAAATGCCCCAAACTCTTTCTATGAGATTTAAGTCTTTGCAGGCTTGAATGTTTTCAAGATTCAGTTCATTACTATCATAATCATTTTGATTTCAGTCACTGACCAAAGCAATACTGTCCACTCTATAATATCAATAATATTGCCTTGTGCTAGGAGTATCATGTCAAACAAATACTTTCCACTTGGAGAGAACTGCTACTTACCGTTACAGTATCATAGCCAAAGACCCCAGTGAGACTACCACTTCCATACTGCATAGAGAAAGTTTGTCCATTGCTGGAATAAGTAGAAGACTGGCTGGGATTAAATAATGGATGGTTGTCTGGTGATAGATACGAGAGTGGGAGAGAGAAGGTTTTACTTTTGAATCAATAACAAAACCTGGTTTAATAACAGTATAATTGGTGTGAAGGACAAAAAGGCATTCCACAAATTGGGTATTTTTTATTCTTAAATGAATGAGAAAGAATACTCACTGCAAGGCTGACTTTGGCAATAGACGGATGGCACCCAGAGATTGGACGACCCAGTGTCAAAGAGAACCATGAAGTTCTGAGGTGGAGTTCCAATACTGATCTGTCCATAATAGGTCAGCTAGAAAAAGGAAAACCTGGTCATCATTCAGGGCTTCCACACTTGAATGTTGATAATGGAAAGACTTAACACATCCCACAGAACATTCTGTACACGCTTAAAACATATTGTTCAATATCTTTTAGGAATATCTATAGGCAAAAATTTAGAAGAAATAAAAATTTCAGAAACGTGGCTTTAGAATTCAAACTGATTCGTAATAGTTGGTTTTTTTTAGTAGGTTCTGTATAGCCACATAAGTACACTTACAATTCAATTAGGTTTTCATACCTGCTTCATGGTTAATTGGGTACATGTAACTGTGTTTGATATTAGCAAGATTTTCAAATTATAACACATTTGCAGTTGGAACCAGGCCTATGATTTTCTCAATTAATGTAAACTTTTCCTGTCCAGTTTTCATCTTGACATTTGTTGGTCAAGCATGTATGAGAAAACAAGTATAAGTATATACAGTATATAATAAATGAGTACGAATAAATGAGAACTGTAGGACAGGGATGGTAGGCATGCTGGTGTGCTTATGCATGACCCCTTACAGACCTCTTAGGAATGGACTGAGGTCCACGGAAGACAGTTTAAGGTTAAAGTTTTGGGGGTTGGAGGATGTAACAACAGAGCCAGGTAGTGAGTTCCAGGCATCGACCACTCTTTTGCTGAAGTCATATTTTCTGCAATTGAGTTTGGAGGGGTTTACTTTGAGTTTGTATCCATTGTTTGCCCATGTATTATTGCGGTTGAAGCTGAAGTAGTTGTTGACAGGTAGGACATTGTAGCAGACAATTTTGTGTATTAAGCTAAGATCAGACTGTAGGCAGGGTAGTTCTAGGTTGTCCAGGTCCAAAATTTTGAGCCTGGTAGCATAGGATATTCTATTGCGAGCAGAGGAGTGGAGTATTCTTCTTGTGAAATGCCTCTGGACTTACTCAATTGTAGTGTGGATTCCAGGCAGACAAGCTGTATTCGAGAATTGGTCTGGTGAAGGTTTTGTATGCCCTGGTTTGCAGTACAGTGTTTATTTACATAATTGTGATAATTTGCCTTTAACTAGCCAGATACTCACATCCATGTAGTTAGCAAGTGGCTCATCAGCAGTGGCAAAACTGTTGGTATATTTGCTGGCTGGATCATAATACTTGTATAGGAGAGGTCCATTGACACCTTTTTCTTTCATCAGTTCCCGCATAGACTTGAATCTTTTTAAGGGTACTCTGTGAGGTAAGCAGTTAAGCAGAGAATCAAACTGGCAGCTCTAGATACATCCCATATTGATTTTTTTTTTCATTGAGATTGTGTACATGATCTAAGGGGTTACCTGGACTGAACTCAGTATCATTTAATTAGTTGTGCTAACTCCTGTTTGATACTCTCAAGGGTTAAATATATGTTTTTTATTGAGCAGGAAATTAGACTGAGGGACTCCAATGTCCTCCTATCAAATCTACTATTCTACAACAGCATTACAAATTTGAATAATAACAACGCTCTAATATTGTCTATTCCAGAGGTCTCCAAACTTGGCAACTTTAAGACTTGTGGACTTCAACTCCCAGAATTCTCCATTCAGCATAGCCAGAATTCTGGGAGTTGAACTCCACAAGTCTTAAAGTTGCCAAGTTTGGGGACCTCTGTTCTATTCTATCAAGTGCTGGAAGCTGAGTCTGTACCTGCATAATTCCAGCTAATTAAATGCCCCCCCCTCAAAAAAGAGAATCTGATTCACTATTTTTGCAAAGAGAGAATGGAATGGAATGGATTATCTACCTAATGCAACACAAAAAATGTATTACATCATCCTGAAAATATCCACATAGGAAATAGAGGTGTTATTTATCATCAAAGCTACACAGAATGGTTGTTACTCCTAATTTTAACAGTGCATCTGAGGGTCTCCTAGGAATTGTAATGACTTATCCTAGTGTATATATCTTTCGCAGTAGTCCTAAGAAAATGCTACCTAATTGTCTACTTTTGAGCCAAAACATAAAGTGAATCCAGTTATTCTTCAGCATAGACTTCTGAACTTGGGGGTGCCATTCTTCAGCAAAAATGCTATGAAAAAATAACAATACTGTACAGCAAGGTAGCATACCCAAAGGCATACAGATAGTAAAGGCATACATTGTTCTAGAAACTATGGCCAAAAGGCATTAAAATGTCTGAATATTTTAGAAAAAGGACATCCATCTAATACAGAAATGCAATGAGCTTAAGAGCATAAACATAACAAGAAATGCTGGATCAAATCCCTGACTCATTTAGTCCAGCAGTGTCCAACCAACTGCTGAAGGAAGTCCATGACTTTCCCACCAGATGGTCTTCAAAGGCAGGTACATCAAGTGTAATGTCTACAGTCCCCATGACTTCCACAAATCAATCCAAACCTTTTTTGGAACTAGGTAAGCAGACATCATTTAAGAAAGAAAACAATTAGGAGAGAGAGAAAAACTGAAACAGATTTTTTATTAAGAGAGCAACTGAAGCTGAAAGGCAATTGAAACTATTATTTAATTATGCTATACTCACTTGACGATAGCATTACTGAGGTGAAGGCACACTAGAGCAAGAATTAGCCACTTCATGGTCCTCTTTTCCCACAGGCAATTGCTAAATTGAATTTTTTAGCTCCTGCCAGGACTTGGAACACTGGGTAAGGATGGCTGTGCTTGGTGCCTTTCTTTTATACCCTGAATTGGGGCTTTTTTTCATGAATATATTCTACAAAGTCATATATGAGTCCTTATCAATGGATCATAATACTTCATATCAGGATTCTTCTCAAAAACATGTAAAAATTTATCTCATGTAAACCTATTTAATCAGTAAAGTAAATACTAAAGTTTAAATAATGTTCTAAAGGCAGAGATTGGTACTAGTTCTTATCATCATATCTTCAGTTCTCTTAATTACAATATTTCCACTTGTACATGTGACAATAATTTTGATGTGTGTTTTGAAAGATAAGCTGAAGGAAACTTTTTGCTTATAAATCTGAATTTAAAATGGAAAAATACATGGTCACACTGAAATCAGATAAGTAATCTACAGTATATTGTTTCCATCCAAGGGCTATCTACAGCATATCAGCAGCCCAGCAATTCCATGTTGTTGTCTTCTAAATGGAAGGGTTACATTTATTTCAGAGAAGATCTATTTTGAAATACTGGAATAAGCAAGCAGAATCCATACCCTATTTTGGCAACACCCTGAATAATCCAAAACCCAGCATCACAATGGCAATTATCCATGGTACAGTAATTTACAAATAAAGAAAATATAGTATTTTTTACAATTTATTAAAAAAAATTGATATTTTTATCATTCAAAAAATCAAACTCATTTCTTTTAAATGTGAAACCTTCAAACCACACATACTAGTGAACTAGTAGCATCCCTTCTCTGTCATCCTTGGCAGCTGAAATAAAGAAATGCAAAATATGTTAGCCTGGGTAAAAATGTTGGCCATCCCTGGATTCAGTCAGCCATAATAAAGTTATAGGAGAGTGAATAGAACATTATACTGTAATGCAGCTGATAGTGGGGGTGGAGTGGGGAGACCCAGGAAGTTTTCCTCTTCTAAATCAGACTATCCAAGCATCTAATTTATAACATAATATTGTTTATCTTTATTGTCAACACTTCTTCTCATCTGAGGAAGAGTTCACCCGATTGTCTGTTATTACCTGAATACTTTAACTTCAGATGAAAGCCACTGAGTTTGGGTCACCTGACTACAGATTCATCCATTTCCCAGCTTTTCCCTTCTCTGGTCTCTGACCACACCATCTCATTCCCTGTAATAAGAATGTCATGTCATTCATGTCATGTGGTAGAATTCACTGGAGAAAGCAATTATGGTTGGAAGAGTTAGTGGTAAAAGGAAACCAGGCGATCAAAGAACACTATCAAAGTGACACCAATCAGAGCACAGAAAAACTCGAAATAAAAGTGCAAGATCAGAAAACAACTGGACCTTTCATGCCTCTTGAAGAAGCATCTTTGGGACAACCATGACCTGGATGACTGAGATTCTCCATAGACAGTGCCTCCAGAGAACTGAAAGTTCTCGAATACAGCTCATCTTCCTGGAATCCACACTGTATAATGGGCATTAATACGATTGAGTGAATCCAGAGGTATTTCATGAGAAAAGTACCCCAGTCCTCTGCTCACAATAGAATACCTTATGCTACCAGGCTCAAAATTTTGCACTACACCGCCTATGGTCTGATCTAAGCTTAGTACACAAAATTGTCTGCTACAATATCCTACCTGTCAATGACTACTTCAGCTTCAACTCCAACACGGGCAAACAATAGAGACAAACGCAAAGTAAACCGCTCCAAACTCAATTACAGAAAATACATCTCCAGCAACAGAGTGGTCAATGCTTGGAACTGACTACCTGACTCTGTTGTTACATCCTCAAACCCCCAAAACTTTAAGCTTAAACTGTCTACCGTGGACCTCACTCCATTCCTAAGAGGTCTGTAAGGGGTCATGCATAAGCCCACCAGCATGCCTACCATCCCTGTCCTACTGTTCCCATTTATCCATTTATTCATACTCATTTATTATATACATACTTATATCTGTTTATGTTCATACTTATACTTGTTTTCTCATACATGCTTGACAAACTAAGTAAATAAAATAGAGTTGAGGATTGGATTAATGACTTCAAGATGGTTTGGAAAAGGGACCTAGGGGGAACAGTAACAGCTTTCATTCTTGGGTGAGAAATGGGGGTGAGGTGAATCTGGCTTACCTGCCATATTGAAAGTGGAGCTTTTTTTTTTTTTGGCTATCTAGGTGAGAGTGGGATACCCAGGGGATGATGTTGAGTGGGTAGTGAATAGGTTCCTTATATCACAGCTACTAAATGCTAGGCAGAAGCACTCAAGTTCTGGAATTTGTTAGCCAAATGGCTCTTAGTGAAATTGGAATTGGTCCTTTTGATATGGGCAGAAAGGAAGGCAAGTGATTGGATATTGCTAGAGGGAAGAGAACAGCAGGAACACTAGGGCAAAAGGAAATATGTCAAAAACAGGGGGCAGCTGTTCTTGAGGTGACTGGTCAGCCCATCAGAATTCCAAAGGGAACTTGGTATTGTTCCTGAAGCACTGTTGCCTGGCCCAATTGAAAACTTAATTGCAGCTTGGATTGAGCAGGTGACAATGGCCTTGGATCAAATTGTTCCTGTGCAGATTCTTTGTTTGTGAATCCCAGGTACCTCCTTGGTTTTCTTGTTAGGATTTGTCTTTTGACAATAACAGGTTTATGCAGGGCTGGGATTCAAAATTTTTAACAACCGGTTCTGTGGGCATGGCTTAGTTGGTGGGCATGGCTTGGTGGTCATGTGACTGGGTGGACATGGCTTGGTGGTCATGTTATTGGCTGGGCATGGCCAACTCAATATCACTTACATCAAGGCACGCATCTCCTCACCTGGCCTCTTATGACTGTGGGGATGCTGCAACAGTCATAAGTATGAAAAATGGTCATAAGTCACTCTTTTCAGTGCCATTGTAACTTTAAATGGTCACTCCACACAAGTAAAGTACCAGCAAAGGAGGAGAAAAAACCTCCAGAGAAGTTCCTGAGACAGGAAGTCTAGTCCTGCCAAGAATGTAATAAGGGTTAATGGAGAGGCAGTGTGTGTAAGCAACACCAGAATGTTTCCTTCCTGCCTTCCTTACATGATTAGGCCAGTAATTTCTTCTAACAACTGGTTCTCCGAACTGCTTAGAATGTTAACAACCGGTTCTAGCAAATAGATGTGAACTGGTAGAATCCCATCCCTGGGTTTATGTCTCCATTCTTATCACATCCATAAATAACCAGCTAGCAACAATATTTTGGGGGACCATGTCCCTTTTTGGTGGGGTTCTTTGAAGTTTCTTTCTCACACTCCCCTCTATCCCCAGACTAATATTTTCTGGGAATGATCCCCTGTTCCCCACTTTTATGGATTTCTCATATTTCCCCAAGGTCAGTTCTACATTCCGTTATACTATGTTCAGGTTTAAATATAAATAAATGCTAACGACAAACTGCCTTTATACTGGAAACCTTTGAAGGGAAAGGCTTCAACTAATATTTTTGGTTGCCAGATAGTTGGGACAACGTAACATGAATTTAGGAATGGTTTGTGAACCTGGGAAGTCTCAAAACATTTCAAAAGAAGACAATGAGAGCCTACTTCCCCAATGCTGACCAAAAAATTGCGACGGGTGAAGACACTAGGAATTGACTTAAGAGTATATTTGCATTCTGTAGGATTCATAAGAAGGTTTTCATTTGTTTCTTACCTCCAAATGAAGGGAATCTCAGCCTACCTTTCAGCTGTTAATGACTGGAACCCTGAAAACATGAAATGGGATACTAAGGCCCAAAGAGTATCTACCTCTGAATAAAGGGAATCTGCAACCATACCACTTCTCTAGAAGTATTCATGCTCCTAATTGTACTCTATTACCTTGAGAGAACTTTTGTTCTCTGAACTTCTTTTTCCCCTCTTTTGTGGGTAGGACAAAGGCTGTTTGTGGTCCAGTTAGGTTCTGCCTTATTTCTGAAATTTTACTTGTCAGTTTTAGTATATGATTAGTTTTTAATTCAGCTATTGGATCAAAGAGCCATTTTCCATCATAGACTTATGTTTTATTAACCTTCATGAAAATTAGAAATCTTATCTCGGTGGATAACAAATTGCATTTTGACCTTGTAAAGTCAGCCAAAAGCAGGGACTGAGTGATCCGCCAAAAGCAGTGACTGATAAGCAACTATAGATACCCAATTCATCTGGACAGAATGTGGCAATTCAATTCACCAATAAATGTCATGTAGCAAATCAAATGCCCTTTACAGTTTTAATTACATAAAAGAGGGCATTTAACAACTTTTTGCTTAACAGAGATTTATCATACTGGATAAACAGTTGGAAAGAGGCCCTACAAGGTTCTTAGTTACAGAATATAAAATATAACTTGCATGGGAAAGCTGTCATGTATGCTCTGGTTTTATTGACACTTGCAAGATTTTCAGTATAACCAATGGAACATTCGCAATCTTCTTAAATTTATAAGTTGGAAGAGGCTATATAGGCCATCTGGTCGAATCCCCTTCAGATTAAAGTATTCCTGTTGTTTAGCCTTGAATGCATTCAGTGAAGAGGAACTCATTATCCTTCACTGTTTTTACTGCTTAGGAGTGTTCTTTTTCTAGCAAATGAAATTGATCTTCCTGTTTTTTAAAACTAATTTGCCTTCTTGTATCTTAAACCATACATTATGTGGGTTACACTCTGAAACAATACAGAATAAATTTAAATCATTTTCTGGATAAGTCAAAGCTTACTCTAGTCTGTGACAGTCTATTAAAACTGCCTTTTATCACCAATGCTATAGCACTACAATAAGTAGAATTCTTGCTTTCAAAATAGTAGGTTGTTGATTTGAAACCTGGTAGAAATGTAGATTTTAAAAAAAAATTATTTCTTTCTCTTAAGCCCCCTTTCATACACACACACAAAAAAACCCCTCCAAAACTCCAGCAGTGTGTTTTGTTTTTTTCTTTCACTGGA